AAAATGTCATCATTTATATGTGTATGCTCACGGCTGATTCAGGCTTTCCACGTGGCGCTAGTGGTAAAGAACCTGCCTGCCAATGCAGGAGACGTAAGAGACCCGGGTTCGATCCCTGGGTGGGGAAGATGCCCTGGAGAAGGAAATGGCAACCCACTCCAGTATTCCTCCCCAGAGACTCCCATGGACAGAGGAGCCTGGCGGGCTACAGTCCACGGGGTCGCAGAATCAGACACGACTGAAGTGACTCAGCACACACGCATGGCTGACTCAGGTTGTTGTATGGCAGAAAGTAACACGACACTGTGGTACAGTTATCCACTAATTAAAAGAAAAAGCTGTTGCGGTTTACAGACTGTAGTTTTTGCAACCGAGCAAAGGGGAAGAAAGGCAAACACGCCTTCTCCACAGCTGGCTCTCTGATATATGTGCTATATGCACAGGTCAGGTGTTCCTAACTTAGGCATAGCTCTGGGGCCTCTTGGTTAGAATGGGGACTACGTTTTCTAGAAGCACTATTTCCATACGGTTCTTTACATCGGGTCCAAAGGAAACAGAACATGGATGAGCTAGCTGAACACTGGGATACCTCACCACGTTTCTCCCCCAGGTACCAGTGATGTCCAGGGCTGGATATTCCTCTGTGGCGGGGTTGTCCCTTACCTGGAGGATGTCTACGATCGTCATTCCTAGTCTCTGCCCACTGCATGTCAGCGGCATCCCCTCCCCGCCCCATAACAACTGGAATGACCCCAGATACTGCGCAGTATATACCCTGAGGAATAAAAGCAATCATTCCCAACTGGGAACCTCCTCTCTAGAGAAAGGATAAAGTGCCTGCCACACTCATGACAACCCTCGGTGGAAGATGTGTCCACCACGGCAGGACGCCGGCAGCCTCCTGCCTCCCACAGAATGTCTTTCGAGAACTTCCCTGGCGGTCCAGCAGTGAAGACCCTGTGCTTCCGATGCAGAAGGCGTGGGTTCGACCCCTGGTCAGGGAACTGGACCCCACAAGTCATGCCACTGCCGCGCAACGTGGCCTCCAAAATAAAAGATCTCCCACCAGCAACAGGAGAGAGGCTGGCCGATCAGGCCGAGTGGAGGCCCTGTGTTCAGTCCAGTCTCACTGGTGACCAAGCAAAACTAACCACTGTCACCTTGCTCTGGACACCGTGCGTGGGTGCGGAGTCACTGAGCTGTGTCCACCCCACCCCCCATGGACCACAGCCCGCCAGGCTCCTCTGTCCACGGGATTCTCCAGGCAAGAACACTGGAGTGCACTGCCATTTCCTTCTCCAGAGAGGGGTCTTCCCGACCCAGGGATTGAACCCCCGTCTCCTGCATTGGCAGGTGAATTCTTTACCACTGAGCCACCTGGCAAGCCTCTGCACGTTATGAGCTTTTGCCTGAACATCACAGGCCGGCGACAAAGAAGCATCTGTCCTTTTCCCCCTGGAGAAATGGTCCTTTCTTGTTTCCCGGCTGTGTCGGGCTGGGGTCCCCTCTACTCACACCTGCACCCCGAGTCTGGCTCACTTCCACTAACCCTCCTGGACCCCACGTCCATTCTGGAACCAACGGCCGCCTCCCAGCCTCCCGAATACCCTGCTACATTACCAGTCGGGGCTCCAAACTCTCTGCTTCCCCCCCTCCACCACCCCCATTTTTATTTATTTTTGGCCACAGGTGGCATCCAGGACGTTAGTTCCCAGACCAGGCTTCGAACTAATGCTTCCTGCAGCGGAAGCTCAGTACCCTGTACCCTGCTGACAGCTCTCTGGTTAAGCTACCAGCCCCAGTCCAAGACTCTCGTCTTCTGGAGGCCAAACTCCAATGGTTATCTCTGTAACTTCCCCTCCGATACCAAAGTCTGTCTCACAACACGACGGGCAACGCTTCTGGCAAGGGCGAACTGAGAGGAAGAGGGGAGGAAAAGACGTCAGCGGGGGACAGCAGGGTCCCTCGTCCAAAGCCCGCTTTCATCCTATACCACGGGAGGAACACAGCACGGCCCGGGCCCCCTTTCTGGGTTGGTTTCACGCCTTATCAAGTTGGGGCGAACGCAAGCAGGCTCCCCAGCCGTCTGGGAACACAGTCCTGCCCTCAATTCCAACCGTGTTCTCAGACACCTGGAGCAAAGGAGCAGTGGAGACGTTCAAGCACCGGAACGGCTGGAACCACTTAATCATGCAGTCTTCAAAGTGGAAATGCAGCCTGCAGGAGCCGATAGGCCATCGAGAGGCAGGAAGAGGAACTGCTGGACACAAGAACAAAAGTGCCCCTGGCCTGGGAGACGGGCGGCTGTTTTGTCTGCAACGGACGGACAGACGGGCCCCAGCCTCGGGGCCGCTTCAAAGAAGCGGGGGCGCTTGTTCAGATAAGGCTGCCGCTGGGCGGCACGACAGAGGGGACTGGTCAGGGGCGGGATCCAGCGGAGGAGGCCACCTCGCCTTCCCTAGGGGTGAAGTCAGAGCTCCCTGCAGGCTTTCATCTTTTTATCAGATAAACACATGGGTGATCTCACCCATCACGAGGGCTGTGCTTCTGGAAAAAGTCCTTTCCACGGGTGTTGTCCCAGGCAAAATGCTTGGGGTGTCCTCCTGAAACCCAACTGCGCTGCCCTGGGGCAGTTTCCTGGTGGTCCAGGGGTGAAGACTCCCGTGCATGCGGTGCAGAGAAGGGTGCATGGGTTTCATCCCTGGTCAGGGAACTAAGACCCCACATGATGAGGTCAAAAAGGAAAAAAAAAAAAAAGAACCCTCCCCCCCCTCAGTGTGATGATCTAAGGGGCTGGGGGTCACCGGGAGGAGACTGGGCCATAGGGTGGAAAGGGAAAGTCGCTCAGTCATGCCTGACTCTTTGTGACCCCCATGGGCTATACAGTCTGTGGAATTCTCCAGGCCAGAATACTGGAGTGGGTAGCCTTTCCCTTCTCCAGGGGAATCTTCCCAACCCAGGGATCGAACCCAGGTGTCCTGCATTGCAGGCGAATTCTTGACTACCTGAGCTATCAGGGAAGCCCCAAAGTAGGGCTGTTTGATTGCTTTAAGTAATTGAACATTACTTTGATTGCTTTCTACAGGGGATCTTCCCAACCCAGGAAATCGAACCTGGGTCTCCCGCACTGCAGGCGGATTCTTTACCAACTGAGTCACAAGGGAAGCCCCTGAGGGTGGAACCTTCAGAGGCGCCATCAGGGCTGTTATACTGCACCAAACATTCCCAAGACCTTCCTGACGCCTTCCACCATGTAAGGTCACTAGAAGAGACCACCTGTGAACCAGGTCCTCAGCACACAGTGAATCTGCCAGCAACCGCATGGATTTTCAGACTCTAGACCGTGAAAATTAAAATGTTTGTTGTTTATAGGTTTGTTTTTTTTCCCCCCCAATCACAGCCTAAATGTTATCACCGACTTAAAGGACATGAGTTTGAACAAACTCCAGGAGAAGGCGATGGACAGGGGAGCCTGGAGAGCTGCAGTCTGTGGGGTCGCAAAGAGTCAGACACAGGTGAGCAGCTGAACAACAACAAATTGGACAAAGACACATGTCAAAGGTGCAGTTCACAGGGCCTAGCTAAGCACCGCGGGGAACACAGAAATTTCAGGATTTGTACATGCTAGTGCTCAGAGGGTAGGGAAGGGTCTGGGATACAAAGACACCAGCTCTCCAGAGGGGCCCTGGGGACGGGGCAGGGTGCTCCTCACTGAAGGCCCAGTGCTATCCGTGCCTGGCCTCTGGTTCAGTTCAGTTCAGTTGCTCAGTTGTGTCCGGCTCTTTGCAACCCCATAGACTGCAGCACACCAGGCCTCCCTGTCCATCACCAACTCCCGGAGCTTGCTCAAACTCACTTCCATCCAGTCAGTGATGCCATCCAACCATCTCATCTTCTGTGGTCCCCTTCTCCTCCCACCTTCAATCTTTCCCAGCATCAGGGTCTTTTCCAATGAGTCAGTCCTTTGCATCAGGTGGCCAAAGTACTGGAGCTTCAGCATGGGTCCTTCCAATGAATATTCAGGACTCATTTCCTTTAGGATGGACTGATTTGATCTCCTTGCTGTCCAAGGGACTCTCCAGAGTCTTCTCCAACATCACAGCTCAAAAACATCAGTTCTCCGGCGCTCAGCTTTCTTTATGGTCCAACTCTCACATCCACAGGTGACTACTGGAAAAACCATAGCTTTGACTATACAGAGCCAGGGTGGGCGGATCCTTCAGTGGTTGTTACTGTTCTTGAAGAGGCTGGACACCTGGATTTTTATGGGGAGTATCCCTGGTGTCCTCAAATTGTTGCCATACTTTAGATTTCAAGACTTGGTGAGGGACTTCCCTGGAGGTTCAGTCGTTAAGAATACACCGTGCAAGGCAGGGCATGTGGGTTTGATCCCTGGCCTGGGAACTAAGACCCCACTTGCTCTGTTTACGCCACAGAGCAAGTAAACAGGCAGAGGGTAACTACTGAACCTGTGGGACACAACCAGAGAATCCAGGCATCACAACGGAAGATCGATCCCACATGCCACAAGACCCAATGTAGCCAAATGAGTGTGTGTCTCTGTTTTAGTCACTCAGTTGTGTCCAGCTCTTTGTGACCCCATGGACTGAAGCCCACCAGGCTCCTCTGTCCACAAGGGATTTTCCAGGCAAGAAAACTGGAGCAGGGAGCCATTCCCTTCTCCAGGGGAATCTTCCCGACCCAGGGATCGAACCCGGGTCTCTTGCATTGCAGGCAGATTTTTTAGCACGGAGCCACCAGGGAAGCCCTGATGCAGCCAAATAAATATATAAATGTTACAAAAAAAGAAAAAAAAAAACCCCCTTGGCCACCCCAGAAAACAGAAGCAGGGGAAAGTCACATCGGCAAAGTCCTCAATGGGCAGCCTGTGGCTTGGGTTGTTCCCGTCATGCGCACCTCCTCTCCGCACACCAAGGCGACCTCCTCGGCACCCACCCTCCAGTTCCCCTCTGTCCCTCCCTACACTTGGCCCGACTGACCTGCAGGGACCTGCTCCTGCCCAGATTCCTTGGAATTCTGGTGTGTTTTTTTTTGGGGGGGGGGGCGGGGGGGAGACCCTCTGTCGCAGCCAGGATCAGGCCGTCTGCGATGGGTAACAGCCCTGCCGTGCCGTGCCGTGCCCCAGCCACCGTCCGTGCGGACACGGGGACGGACACGGTTTCCGCCAAGCCAGAGTGGGTGGGGCGGGGCCGGGCCGGTCCTAACCGGAGACTGGGGAGCTGGCGGAGGCGGACGTCAGCTGGACGCCTCTGGGGAAAGCCTTTGTCTCTGGATCAAAAGGGCAGAAACATCTGGTCCCACCCTTTCTTGCGGCCCCGAACAAAGACGCGTGCTGTGGATGCGGCAGCTGGCGCGCAGCCATCCGGCTGCAGAGACCCCGAGGGTCGAGGGGCCCTTAGAAAGCCGGACCCATTCATCCGTAAGACGGCGTACTTCAGAACGAGCCCGAACTCTTTATACAGCCAAATCATTTCTCCTTTTAATGTTTATACTGTAAAACACTTCCAAAAAAAAATTTCAACATGGAAAAATAATTTAAAACAATAAAACTTCGTTGAGTTTTCTAATTCAAAAAGTATTAGGGTAACATTTATTTTCATGTCTGAGAAACAGACTACAAAAGCCTATAATATCTTTGTATGCTCACGTTTTTATTTACGACCAAGACATACTGTGGCTTCCCCGGTGGCTCAGATGGTAAAGGATAGGCCTGCAACGCGGGAGACCTGGGTTGGATCCCTGGGTTGGGAAGATCCCCTTGGAGAACGGAATGGCAACCCGCTCCAGTATTCTTGCCTGGAGAATCCCCATGGACAGAGAAGCCTGGCGGGCTACAGTCCATGAGGTTGCAGAAAGTCAGACAGGACTGAGCAACTAACACTTTCACTTCTTTCAAGACATACTGCACTTACTCTAGAAATCTACCAGCTCCAAGTCATTATATTTTTCCTCATCTAATCCGCACACTGCTGATAGAGGAGTATAATGTATTTGAAAAATATATTAAGGGGTGGGAGGGGGACATCCGTGGAGGTCCAGTGGCTAAGACTCTATGCTCCTAATGCAGGGGGCACAGGTTCAAGCCCCAGTCAGGGAATTAGATCCTGCACATTGCAACTCAGATCAAAGATTTTGCACGCCACAACTAGGACTCAGCACAACCAAATTAATAAATAAATTTTCTAAAATATATATATACACACACATGTATATATATGTCTTGGAGGAGGGGAGTAACACCTTCCCAGGCGGCACTAGTGGCAAAGGACCCTACTGCCAATGCAGGAGACATAACAAACCCAGGTTTGATCCCTGGGTCGGGAAGACCCCCTGGAGAAGAGAATGGCAACCCACTCCATGATTCTTGCCTGGAGAATCCCTAAGTGAGGACCGATACTTATAAAATCTAGATAATCTAAATCAATGAGACCACATGAATGGAGATTTTTCACCAAACATACTCCACATCTCCACAGTAATATTATTTCTCCACACTGAATTAAAGTTGAGAATCAAAGCAAAATTGCTAAATTATTATGCATCTAACTTGGAACCTTCCTCTGCCATCTAAAAATACAAACAAAAAACTTTTTAACTACTCCATGTACCCTGATATTCAAAGCAACACGGTACACAATTAGCCAATACATGGAAACAGCCTAAATGTCCATCAACAGAGGGGTGGATAAAGATGTGGTCCACATATACATTGGAATACTCCTCAGCCATAAAAAAGAATGAAATGATGCCATTTACAGCAACATAAACGATCTAGAGATTATCACATTCAGTCAAACATTGTATGATATTACTTAACATGTGTGACCTAAAATATGGCACAAATGAACTCATCTACAAAACTGAAGCCAACCCACAGGCACAGAGAACTGACTGGCTGTCAAGCAGGTGAAGAGGTAGGGTAGGGGTGGATTGGAAGTCTGGGGTTAGCGGATGTAAATTATTATATATAGGATGGATTAACAACAAGGTCCTACCACAGAGAACAGCAAACTGTATTTAATATCCTCTGATAAAGTGTAATGGAAAAGAACCTGAAAAACAACGTATATACATAACTGATTCACTTTGCTGTACAACAGAAGTGAACCCACCACTGTAAATCAACTATACCTCAGTAAAAACAAACAAAAAAATGTAAGCTATTCCAATTATGATAAAACAGCAACTCCCACCCAAAAAATGAGCAACTTTTTGCTGCCTTTTCAGCAGCCAGCTTTCACAGGCGAAACCCTCATTCCTTAATATTACATTTATTTCTCCCAGGTTCATTCAAAGCTTTGGGGGTAGGAGGAATGGGAACATTCTTTTTTTTATGCATATTTTTAAAATTAATTATTTTAATCAGAGGCTAATGACTTTATGGTATTATAGCGGTTTTTGCCATACACTGACATGAATCAGCCACGGGTGGACACGTGTTCCCCATCCTGAATCCCCCTCCCACCTCCCTCCCCATCCCATCCCTCTGGGTCATCCCAGTGCAGCAGCCCCGAGCACCCTGTCTCATGCATCGAACTGGGACTGGCGATCTATTTCACATATGGTAATATGCATGGGGAACATTCTTAAGTTTAAAAAAAAAAGAAAAAAAAAAGACTCACATTAAAATGACTTAACTCTTATGACCCAGCAGTGTCTCAGCCAAGATAGAACACATCAAGAACTTTTCGGGGGGTGGGGAGGGTGGGGGGCTTCACTGGTTGGCTCAGTGGTAGACAGTCTGCCTGCCAATGCAGGAGACACGCATTCAATCCCTGATGCGGGAGGATCCCACATGTCACAGAGCAACTAAGCCCATGTCCTGCAGTCTATGTGATGCAACAAGGGAAGCTAGTGCAATGAGAAGCCAGACCACCACAACTAAAGAGGAACCCCCACTCGCCACAGGTACAGAAGAGATCTCGCAGCAACAAAGACCCAGCACAGCCAAAAATAAATAAAAATTACTTTCTTTTTTATTTTAAAAAGGAGAGTTTTTTGGTTGTGCTCCTCGGGAAGAGAGATGTGCAACCTTTCATCAGGGTGTCAGAACTTGCTTAGTCGCCCACTTCTAATTCTTCCCCAGGGAGACTTTAATATTCACCAGTCAAGCGAAATCAGTTAATCATATACCAGTTTACACTGGGCTCTGCAAGTGGCCCAGTGATAAAGACACCTGCCTGCCAATCAATGCAGGAGACGGGGGTTCAATCCCTAGGTCGGGAAGATCCCTGCAGAAGGGCATGGCAACCCACTCCAGTACTCTTGCCTGGAGAATTCCACGGACAGAGGAGCCTGGTGGGCTATAGTCCCTGGGGTCGCAAAGAGTCCAACACGACTGAGCGACTTTCACTTTCACACGTGTATCTGCTAGCCATGATGTGCGACCACTGGGAATTTTTATCAATGTGCTCAAACAAGGAAGGAGATCGTTATCTCCCATGACAGGCTATTAAGACATACTTCTGCCCAGAATACGATACAGTATCAGTGATATGTGGCATCCAAAACATGACACAGGTGAACTTACCCATGACACAGAAACAGCCTCACAGACATAGAGAACAGACCTGTGGGTGCCCAGGGTGGGGACTGGGGTCGGGGAGAGGAGGACTGGGAGTTGGAAGTTCGCAGATGCAAGCTATTGTATATAAAATGGGGACTTCCCTAGTGGTCCAGTGGCTAAGACCCCAAGGCAGGGAGCCCAGGTTCAATCCCTAGTCAGGGAACTTGATGGTACATGCTACAAGGAAGACCCGGCAGAGCCAAATAAATAAATATACATTAAAAATGGAGAACCAGCAGGACAGCACAGGGAACCCTGCTCAATACTCTGTAATAACCTTATGGTCACCAGGGGGAAGGATGGGGCAAGGGACAGTTAGGGACTTTGGGATGGATGCGGACACACGGCTATGTTTACCATGGAGAACCAGCAAGGACCTGCTGGCCAGCACAGGGAACTCTGCTCAATACTCTCTAATAACCTGATGGTTGCCAGGGTGAAGGATAGGGAGAAGGGATAGTTAGGGAGTTTAGGATGGACATGTACACACTTCAGTATTAAAAATGGATAAGCAACAACAGAGACAGGGAACTCTAGTCGATATTCTGTAGTAACCTATATGCAAAAAGAATCTGAAAAAGAAAGAATACATGTACATGTGTAACTACCATTCTGCTATACACCCGAACTAACACAACACTGTAAATCACCTATATTCCAATAAAAATAAAACGACATTCTATATATACACATACACAGCAGCAGAAAATACCATTTGCCCCCAAGACACTTCTTATGACAACTGCACGCTTTTTTTCTAGATGTTAGACGACTCGTATCTAATTTTTAAAATATAATTTTCTCTATGAGCATTCTGACAAAATGTTGGAAGCTGTAATATGCTGTAGAGAATTTTCCATTTCCTGACTAAAGTTACTAGCAAATGCTGCGTACCTACAAGTAATTTCAGCCTTGGTTATTTGCATATTTAAATTTTTTTGCAATTGCAGTTCTACAATCATTGATATTGTGGGGCTCATCCAACACTCCTGAAAACTGCAATTCATGGAGATCTGTGTACTCAGTAAGGGATGACGTGTGTCCCAGGGGAGACTGGGCCTAACAGAAAAGAGAGCCTTTGCCGGACCCAGTTCAAATACCAATTCAAGACAACAGGGTGTTAAGAATAAAGCCTCAGGGACTTGCCTGGTGGCCCAGTGCCTAAGATTCCAGCACTCCCGAAGCAGGGGGCCTGCGGTTCGATCCCTGGTCAGGGAGCTAATAACTAAAAAGATCCTTCATGCTACAATGAAGATCGCAGATCCCGAGTGCCGCAACTGAGTACCCGGCACAGCCAAAAAATAAAAATAAAAGCAAATACATGTGTGTGTATATAAAACGAGGGCTTCCCTGGTGGGTCCCGTGGGGAATAATCCACCTGCTGATGCAGGGGACATAGGTTCTATCTCTGCTAGTCTGGGAGGATCGCACACGCCCTGGAGCAACTCCAGCCAGGGCACCAGAACTACTGAGCCCAGCGCTAGAGCCCACGAGCCTCGACTACTGAAGCCCGTGCGCCCTAGAGCCCGCGGTCCCCAAAGGGACAAGTCACCGCAGTGAGCCGCCCTTGGGCCGCCAATGAGACAGGAGCCCCAGCTCGCTGCAACTAGACAAAAGCCCGCAGAGCAACCCGCCAGAGCCAAAAATAAAAATCAATCTTTTTTTTTTTTTTTTTTAAATAAAACAAGCGAGAAACCGAAGG